CTGGACAGAGGGAGCTCTGCTCACAGCATGGGGACCACAAAGCTCAAGGGCAGGGCAGCCCTGGTCTCATTATGGTACCAAATCCCACAGGATCACCGAGGCTGGGAAAGGCCTTGAGACCATCGCGTCACCCCCTGGATGAGAAGGACACACTGTGACACCAGGGAGGGCGGCAGGACACGTGGCCAGGGCCGGAGCCCAAAGCAGCAGCCACAGAGTGGAGGGATGAGGTCACACATCCCACAGGAGCACGAGACAGCCCTGGGCCTGCCCCGGCTCCTCCGCCGTTCCCAGGAGCTGCAGAGCACGGGGGCCAAGCCCACAGCCCAGCTCTGCCTGGCCAGGCCACTGCCAACCTCCCCTCCCCGGCCAGGGCAGCAGCTCCAGCCCCTCTCCCTGTGCAGGAGCCTCTCCCCTGCCCTCTCTGCACATCCTCCCTGAACCGTACCCAGCTCCACCCCACGGCACATTCCCTGTGGAATCCCCTCTCCCAGGGTCGCTGCTCTCCGTGCCAGCACAGCAAACCTGCCTGGCTCCATCCAGCAGCAGCCAAGCTCCCGGACACGTCCCGGACACGTCCCAGCCTCCTGCCCTCACCGTGAGGGGCCACTCCCCACACTCGCTGTCACACCCCAACTGTCCCGGCCCGCGGGTCACCCCGGCCTCCCCTGAGGGGATCGGATACCCCTGGTGCTCACGTCCCCAGCTCCACAGCACACAGATCCCAGCGGGGCCGTGCCCCTCCTGTGCCAGCCGTGCCCAGCCCTGCCCCGGCTGGGCTGCCTCCATCCTTCTTCCTTCACAACCCGACTCTCGCCCCCATTCCCTCTTTTCCTGACTCCACACCATGTCTCTGTCACTCGTCTGACACCCCCAACAATCGCCTCTGGCCCTCCAGACACCCCTCGGTGCCCGGTGCCGCTCCCCGGGCGCAGCTTTCCTGCCCCGCACACCGCAGAGCGCCTCAGCCGAGCGGGGCCGGGACCGGGCCGGGCCGGGCCGCTCCGCCCGCTACCCACGGCGGGATGTCCCTGGGCCAGGCCGAAGCCTCCCTTCCTCCCCGGCTTCCCGGCCTGGCTCCCGGGACACCGGCGGGGCCGCGGCAGCGAACACCGAACCCGCCCCAGCCCCGGCCGGCCCGGCCCCGCAGCCGCGCACAGAACCGGGCCGGGCACCGCGGGCACCGCGCACAGCAGCGGCGGCCAAGGGCCTGCCATGGCCCCGCCGTCCCGGCTGCTACCGGCACAGGCTGGGCAGCTCCCGGCGGCCGGAGCGCCGCACCAGGCCGTGTCCGGCGGGCGGACGGGAGCGCCCCAGGCTGGGCCGGGAAGCGGGTCGGGTCGGGCCAGGCCGGGCGGGGCCGAGCCGAGCCGAGCCGAGCCGAGCCGAGCCCAGCCCAGCCCAGCCCAGCCCGTCCCGTCCCGTCCCGTCCCGTCCCGTTACCGGCGGCCGCTCCGCTCCCGCTCCCCGGCTCCAGCTCCCGCCGTCATGTGACCCCGGCCCGTCACGTGACCGCGCCGGCCGGAAGCGCTCCCGCCGCACGGCGCCGCTCCCGGCGTGCCCCCACTGAACTACGACTCCCGGCGTGCCCCGTGCCCGGACCACAACTCCCGGTGTGCTTCCCGCGGCGCTTCGACGGCGGCCGGGGTGGGCCATGGGGCACGCAGACATGGCGCGTGTTCCGCACGTCGTGGCCGACACGGGCGCGTTCCTGAGCGCGGCCCCGCTGCAGGTACCGGGGGAGCACCGGGGAGACACCGGAGGGACGGGGGGGGTCAAGGGGCGACGGGCCGGTGTGACGGCGCTGCCCGCAGGACATCGCAGACGCGCTGTACACCGTGCCCGAGGTGCTGGCCGAGATCCGCGACCGGCCCGCGCGCCGCCGCCTCGCCGCGCTGCCCTGCGAGCTGCGGCTCCGCCGCCCGCGCCCCGAGCTGCTGCGCCTCGGTGAGTGCCGAGCCAGCGGCTCCCTTCCCCCGCCGGCCCGGCCCCGCGGCCCGCCCGGCCCGGCCCGGCCCGGCCCGACGCCGCTGCTCCCCGCCCGCAGTGACCGAGTTCTCCAAGAAGACCGGGGACTACCCGAGCCTCTCGGCCGCCGACCTGCAGGTGCTCGCCCTCACGTGCCAGCTCCAGGCCGACATCGACGGCCCCGGCTGCGTGCGCTGGGAGCCGCAGGACAAGGTAGGATGGGCGCGGGCACGGGCCCCGGTTCCAGCGGCACGGGGCCCGGTTCCAGCGGCCCAGACACGGGCCCCGGTTCCAGCGGCCCGGACACGGGCCCCGGTTCCAGCGGCCCCGCCGACGGCCCCTGCTGCCCCCCAGGTGCGGCTGAGCTCCACCCCGCGGCACCCCGAGGCCCCCCTGCACCTCGCCGGCTTCCACCTGCCCGCCAAGGTAAGGCTCGGCGGGGCGCGAGGGGCTGCGGCCGCGAGCCCCGGCTGAGCGCTGCCCGCGCTGTGCCCGCAGCACAAGCCCGCGGGGAAGGGCCCGCCCCAGCCCGGCCCCGGCAGCGGCCCGGCCCCGGCCGAGAGCGACCAGTTCGGATCCTTCCTGTACTGGCGGCCGCCCCTGCCCAGCATCGAGGAGGAGCTGCGGGAGCTGCTGGTGAGAACCTTCGGGAGCTTCTCCCTGTTGCCGTTTCTGGCTGGCCGCTCCCCACCCCTGTGTCCCACCCTGACCGTCTCCTGCCCCCCTGGGCCAGGCCATCGCCGGCAGCCCCGAGCCCCCCGAGGAGCACAGGAGCTCTGCAGACGGGGCCAGCGCCGGCGAAGAGGAGGAGGAGGATGAGGAGAGCGATGACGAAGGCTGGATAACTCCCAGCAACCTGAAGCAGGCCCAGCAGGACACGGGGCACTGTGACACTGCTCCCGTGGGTGTCCAGGTCGGCTGTGTCACCACGGACTTTGCCATGCAGGTGGGTGCTGGGCTGCAGCCGGGGCTCAGGCTCTGGGGCAGCTCCGTGTGTCAGACCAGCAGGGTCTCGGTCCCAGAGGCCCCTCAAAGCCTGCAGGGCTCTGACTGGCCCAGCTGGCAGGTCCCAGCTGCCGGGGTGTGTCCCTGCTCTTGCAGAACGTGCTGCTGCAGATGGGTCTCCACGTGCTGGCTGTGAACGGGATGCTGATCCGCCGGGCCCGCAGCTACATCCTGCGCTGCCACGGCTGCTTCAGGTGCTGGGGCTGGGGCTGAGCCCGGGCTGAGCCCACGTTCCACGGCCCCGGGAGCTCTGAGCCCCCTGTCCCACCCTCGCAGGACCACCTCGGACATGACCAAGGTGTTCTGCCCCCACTGTGGGAACAAGACCCTCAAGAAGGTGGCAGTGAGTGTCAGCGATGACGGGAGTCTCCACATGCATTTCTCCCGCAACCCCAAGGTGCTGAACCCCCGGGGGCTCAGGGTGAGTACCTGGACAGACTCCCAGACTCACTGAGGCTGGAAAATACCATCAAGGTCATCGAGTCCAGCCTGTGACTGATTCCTACCTTGTCAGCCAGCCCAGAGCACTGGGTGCCATGTCCAGTGAGTTCCTTGCACACCTCCCGGGATGGGGACTCCACCTGGGAGTGGAGCCCCTTCCCCCATTTAACAACCCTTTCTGTGAAGAAATTCTCCCACTGGGACCCAGCTTGTGGCTGGCAGGTTGCAGGCAATCAAAGCAAACTGAGAACATCCTCCAGCTGTGGTTACACTTGACCCCCAGGGCTTTCAGGCTTCCCTGCTGGCTCTGCAGGGGGCTGCGGTCCCCGGGGCTCCCCGGGGCTGATCCCTTCTCTCCCGCAGTACCCGCTGCCGGCGCCGCAGGGCGGGAAGCACGCCAACAACCCGCACCTGGTGGAGGACCAGCGCTTCCCGCAGCAGCGCCTGTCCCGCAAGGCCAGGCAGAAAACCAACGTGTTCGACCCCGACTACCTGGCCGGGGCCTCTCCCTTCGCCGAGAACGACGTGCACAGCCGGGCCGCGCACCTGCACCTGCGCGACGCCGCCCTGGGCGCCGGCCGCCGCCGCCTCAACCCCAACGCCGTCACCAAGAAGTTCGTGAAGAGGAGGTGAGGGCAGGACAGGCCCCCCTGCAGGACCCACCTGCCCGCGTGTGGTGGTGGCTCTGCCAGGGCGAGGCCTCTCCCAGCACCTGGGCACGGCTCAGGCCGCGCTGTCCCCGCTGCGCTGGTGCCAGAGCCGCCGTGACCGGGGCGATGGTGACGGGGTTTGGGGAGGCACGGGGAGGGTGGGGTGGCTTCCCTGCCCGTCCCTGGGCACCCCTGGGCAGGGGCTGTCACCCAATAAACTCCAAGTCCCGAGCTCTGTGACTCAGTCCCATTTCTGCATATGCCTGTGCCAGGGGGAGTCTTTCTCTGAGCCTCGAGGAACGAGAGGCAGAGAGGGAGGGAGGATTTCTTGGATCATTTGCCCCATGGGATAATGAGCTCCAGAAGGACAAAAGCCCAGGGCAGGGGGTTGTGTCCCACCCTGGCGCTGGGCGATGCCCAGGACTGAAGGGGGAGATTCCAGGGTAAAGCTTTGTGGATAAATCTGCTGAAATCTTCCACAGTTGACTGCTGGGCCCAGCTCTTGCTGCAGTTTCTCCTTAACCCTGCTGAAATTGTTCAAAATAAGGAAATACCTGATAGCAGCTGTGGTCCCTGGCCCTGGGGAGGTCACAGGTTGCAGAGTGGGAGCAGGAAAGGGGAACAGGGCAGTGGGTAAGGCAGCACACATCCTGCTGAGGACGTGGTAATTCCAGCATCTTGGCCTTGGACTCCTGGCCTCGCCTCCCTGGGGCAGACTCTGCCTCTCCCCCAGTCCCTCGGAGCCGGGATCCTGGGCTATGGAAGCCGTTCCCGTGGTCACAATTTGGGGGCTGGGTTGGGCAGCCCCCAGGGGTTACCGGGGTGCCACAGCACCAAGTCAGTGTGGTTCCAAGGACCTTTTCCTGCAGCAGCTGCAGCGCCCTGGGCACAGCTCTGGAATTGCCTTTGGTAAAACCATCACAAGACTTTAGAGTGTAAAATGAAAACTTTCATCGTTTATTCTCGACTGCAGCTGTTTACAGAAATATAGTTGCGAGTATACAAATGTCCCAATAGAAGCAAAATATTTTTTTTTTTTTAATATTCAACAAGTTATCACAGGAGAGCTAAAAACATAGATGCAAATAAAATATCCCCTCATAGACAAACTGAAAACACCGGGAATCAGTGCCTGGAAAACCCACCTACGAAAGCCATATACACAGAACTGCACGAAGGAGTATCTGGTGCTACTTTCACACTGCAGGACACAGAAGAGGCAGCTCAGCGGTCGAGGGTGCACCCAGAACATCTGGCAGGCAGGGGAGAGCCCACCTCAGGTGCAGGGACAGAGGCTGGAGCTCTGCTCTGGAGGGGTTGGAGCTTAGCATCAGCTCAGATGGGAATAATTCAAATTGCCTCCTTTTACCCAGAATAGAAAAGCCTCAGGAATGCTGCAGGCTAAGGACACAGGAATGGGATCCCAGTTCTGCAAGACCCAAAGAGCCACTTCCAAACAGGAACAGCCCCCTGGACACGTTATCCCAAGGGGCAGCCATGGTCCTGCCCAGGTCAGGTCCCGTTCCATGGGGCAGCTCCAGGGCCAAAACAAAGCCAAGGCCATTTACCTGCCAGGTGAAGAAACCCCTCCCTAATCCCAGGCCTGGAGCTGGAATGTGTCACAGAGGGCTGCTGGGTGTGGGAGCCTTGGAACCTCAACAGAGGGGTCAGTGAGCAGGGAGTCCTGGCTTCCTTGCCCTGGCCCTACACAGTGAATGTCACCAGGCAATTCAGTGAAGTGTAACAGTAAAAATGACACATCTGTGGAAAAAGCAGAGTTCAGCTCTGCAAACTCCAAGAGAACAAAGGAGGACACTGGCTCTCAGTGGGGAGGAGGGATTTAAGAAGACCTGTACCAGGGTAACACTGATCCACAAATTCCAGTGCAGCACAGATTTGGAATTGAAAGTCATGTTGGACACAACACACATTACTGAATGCATGACCTGATTTAATGGCTGGAGCTCTGTCAGGGGAGGTTCAGGGTGGATCTCAGGAAAGGTTCTTCCCCCAGAGGGTGCTGGCACTGCCCAGGCTCCCAGGGAATGGGCACGGCCCCAGAGCTCCAGGAGAGGTTGGACAGTGCTCTCAGGAATGCCCAGGGTGGGAGTGTTGGGGGGTCTGTGCAGGGCTGGGGTTGGACTGGATGATCCCTGTGGGTCCCTTCCAGCTCAGGATATTCCATGATTCTGTGATTCTTAGGGTTTAATTCCTCACACAACCTGCAAGAAAGAAATCAGCACGAGTCGTGGCAGGTTCCTGACAGACAGAATTCAAGGGGAGCTTCACTGGCTTTCAAGGAGTTCTTTAGATTTTGATTGTTGCACTAATGAATCAGTTAAAATAATCAAGTTTACAGACTCTTGCCTTCGTGGGAATAAAGAGAAAGGGCAGAGGAGCTTCCCCTCCCTGACCCAGCACGAGCAGGGACCTTTTGCTACACAGTGACATCCCACACACCTGGGCTGGTGTCAGCAGCCCTGCGCAGCACAGCCAGCAGCAATCCCTGTCTGCACCAGCTGCTGCCCCACTGGGCATGGAAAGCACTCAGGGGAAGCCCAGGGATGCTCAGGGCTGCAGGAAGCCCATCCTCAGTCAGTTCTATCCTAAACCACACCTGCAAGTATGAACTAAAAGATACAAAAACACAAGAGTGGCCACAGCTGCTGGCAAGCCACAGATCCCAGCGAGGTTCCCAAGCAGAGCAAGTTCTGGATCCACGTCACCAACAGGACCACACGTCCAGGACTGAGAGGTGTGAGACAGCTACTCATGAGTTACTACAAAAACCTCCTACTGAGGAAAAGGAGTATTATTTCATGTTTATAAAAATGTAAATATAACAGTGTTCTAATGCTGTGTCTACTAATATTTATATATAATAATCTGACTCCTCTATATACATATATATAATCCTAGAATATACAGGCAGTGCATATTTACATCCCTATACAGACTGGGAGAGGAAAAGCCTCTCCTCCTGTGGAACCTCCCCGAGTCCCCCACTCCCCTAGAGAATTTCACAAGTTCCCTTTGGCAGGACTTTACCCCCTGCTGCATTTTTCCCTGTTTCTAGCAGGTTTAGCCCATTTCCAACGCCGACCCTCGGTGGCACAGACGCCCTGCCCGGGGCACCACAGCTGGCACAGCTGGTCTGAGCAGGAACACAGAGTGCTCACAGGCTGCCACAAAGACCAAACCAGCCCAAACTGGAACAAAGCCCCTGAACAAACACAGCATCCCACTGCTGTTTCCTTTTAGTGTCTACAGAACGGAGCTGCCCGAGCCCCCCGAACACAAAACCCCCAACTCCCTGAAATTCCATTTGCACTCATGAGCAGTCAACCAGTGACCAGAATTTCCTGTGCTCGCCTTCCACCTACAGCTCAGAGCACGCCAAGCAACTCCCTCTCCTCTCTCCTGCTCCCCTCACTCAGATCCATGTCTGTGCTCCCTCTGCTCTCCCACAATGGCCCTGGAAAAGGAACCCAACAGTTTGCCAAGCAGAGGCACAACAAAAGAGGAATAAAAATCCATTCAGAGGTATTTTCCTTTTAGAAATTAGATTCTAAATCAAAATATCAATGGAAACTTAAAAAATTATAAAGTTCAGCTTATGCAAGAGAGGGGAATGCCCACTGACTCAGCTGCCCAGACTTGGCACTTCCAGTAAAAACCTGCCGAGGTTATGTTTAACTGTTCATGCCTTGTTTTATCTCTGGTTTAATCTGTCAGTGATTAGAAGAAATCATCATCACTGATCAGAGAGTGGACACCCACTTCAGAACAGCCAGCCTGGAATTACTTCTTGAACTAGATTTGTGATAAAATAAGAGCAAAGTGTTTGGCTTGCTGCAAGACCAGGCAGTGAGGAGGCAATTAATACCAAAGCAACTGTTAATTAAGCACAAAGCACCAGTAACTCCGTGCCAGAGGAGATGTTCAGCTCAAGCCGTGCACCCAGTGTTGGCTCCGTGGTGTCTGGGGGGGCTCTGGGCACACTCAGGGTAAAAGCTGAGGGGCATGGGGGGGTTGGCAGCTCCATCTCCCTCAACTCTCACCTGTGCCCACACACGGGCGCTCTGGGACCCCCAGGGATGCTGGACTGGCACAGACTGGTACCTCAGGGTCCTCTCTGTCACCCAAAGGGCCCAGACACGACGGCAGTGCCCGCGTGCTCCTGGAACACAGGGGTCATAGAGAAGCTCTGCTGCCCAACCTCAACTGCTAAAAATGCCAGAAGTGCATGTTCAGGGCCCTGGTGAGACAGCGGGCTGCGCTCCCTGCCGTGACACCCTGCAGCCTGTCCCTGAGCTCTTCTGGGGCTGATCCAAGCCCTCCACCCTCAGAGCCGCTGCCGAGCACGCGCCAACCGCTGAGCGACCTCTTCAGTCACACAAATACTTTTTGTAACCAAATCACATGTTCAAAGTGTTGTACATTTAAACATTGACCTAAAATGAACAGGTAAATTTAACACGAGGAAAGGAAGGTGTTTCCAGAAGGAAAACTGGGATAGCACAGCCCTTGGTTGGTTTTTTGTGTATGTTTTTTTCTCTCTTCTCTTCACGAGCGACCTCAAACGCCCACGATTCAAACATACCCTTCCCTGGAGCTGTGGCAGGCTTGGGATGAGGTTCTCTTCTGGGCACTCATCCTGTTCCATGGAGAATTGGTCCCTGGTGACTTGGCACGACCAACAAATGGATAGAGCCCTTGGGAACAAGGAGCAAACACTGAAGCAGCACGCGAGCGAAGCCATCGTTCCCGTCGCTCCTTCCGCGTCCGACGGCCCCAGGTGACCCCAAGAGCTCACCCTGGGACACAGGTCCTGCAAACACCACCAGTTCCTTTCCCAGTCAGTGCCTATGGACTTCCACGGCCCCCTGGACGTTGCTGGGCCCATTGCTCTCAGCCTGAGCAGCCCCACGCAGCACCTGGGCGCTGCTGGGGCTGCTGCTTTCGTGTTGTGAACCATTACAAGATGTTGGTAATGTTTTGTCTTAGCAGGGGAAAAAAAATAAAATACAGAAAGAAGAAGTCTGGGTCGGGGTTAAAGCAGCTCTGGACATGATGCAGCGGGGAATCCTTTCTGTCCTGATTAAAATTTCCAACGTTTGAGCATAATCATAAATTAGAAGTTAAAACACAGAGGCGCTAATAATAAAATATTAAATAGGCAATGAGAGTGGAGAAAAGCTGAATGGCTCATTCTGATGGAAACCCCAATATTTCATATTTTATATAATCCTAAATGCCTCTGGGTTTCCTGGCTAGGCTGTGATGAGGGACACACCAAACACAGAGCAAAGCTTCTCGTGGCCAGCTGGACCAACACTGCCTGATGGAATGGCGAGAGATGAACACGTTATTTATGTTGCAAAAAGTACTTAAATACTCAATAAAGACATAACAAACCCCACCCCACCCCACTGTTATCAGACGCCACGTTGTGGTAGAACATCAGACAAACTCACAAATTTACCACAAAAATGTGTGGCAAAAAGAATATTTTATATATATGTATATATATAAATTTTTATATTTATGCCAATGTACTCACTCAGTACAAATAGCAAAATAGTTATACCATTTCCTAAATACAAAATATAGCTTTCCAAAAAAATGAAACACACATTAGATATAAACCATCCAAAACTTGAACGATTGAAAACTGTATTCAAAATTAAATGACCCAGAGCAGGTCTCTTTCTGAAAAGTTCCCTTCATATCGGCAAGAAGCCTTACTACTGAAAACGTAATTCAATGCCTCTCAATGAGAGAGAGAAAGAGAGAGACAGAAAGAGAAAGTGAACGTCGTGACAGACCAACAAACGGGGGAATCCAGGAAAACCAACAAAAACTCTACACGGCTCAACTACGCACACGAGTTAAGGGGAAAACACACAGTAAACAGACTCGAGGAACTTAAAAAAAACCCATTTACAGACTGTTCTTTTGTTATTTCAAATAACAAAAATGAAGAATGACGTGACACCAGCTAGACTCTGCCGAGGCGGAACGGGCGCCGCGGGAGCGGCTGGGCTCCGGCGGCAGCGGGAGGAACACGGATCTGGACGAGGCTGTAGTGAGAGATCACACACTGTCTGGAGAGTTGAAGCACCCAAAAAATCCACAAGCCTCACGATACACCTGCACGGTCTGGAGTGGGTTGTTTTTACATTCGGTAACATCAGTCAATGATTTATTCCTTAATTAAACGTGACAATCTAGAAACCAGACTTGGGGCTCGGTGGTAGAAAAAGGAAAAATCACTTCAGAACTGCGATGAGCTCCACGTGCTACAAAGATGCAACAGCTCGGGATGAAGTGACCTTTTAAGAAGGCTTAAAAATGATGCAATTTGCCCCCTACTTGGAGTAAAGCCAAGCTGAAGATTTCCATCAGTCACAGCTGGAAGTGGCGGGTTAAGGGGGATTCCTGCAATTAGAAGGTGGTGGAGAAATTGCTTCCTCTCTCCTTACTCCTTGATTATTTGTCAAAGCTTCTACTGACTAAGCAATTTACTGCCAAGGATTCCTAAAAGCTCTTTCTTTAGCTTTAAAGCCAGTAGGATATTTATGTCTTTTTTTAAAAAACAAAATACAAAACTGAGGGAGAGAAGGAAAACCATGGAAATAATAAAAGGGAGAAGGCTGGTTTGGGAACAGCTCATGAGGCTTCACAGAGCTCCAACCCATCAGTCAGAACAAGAGACACAGAGGAGTCCCTTCCTCAGCCACACAGAATGCTCTTTTCAAGCTGAAAGTGTTTTAGAGAAGATTTTAAGATCAACTGGAAGTTCCCCTTCATTTCTTCATTTTGTAGAGCCACCAAACCCTTGCTCTATGTACAGCTCCACGTAACTCCAGCTTCCACAGATGTGGAAAACCGTTAACCCCATTCTCAGATGGGAAATGGTTATTTACAGCAGCAATTCTCTGCTTGGTTATTACAGTTATCAATACTTTCAATACATAAAGGGTGGGTCTGGCTCTCCCACTCCGTGTCACTCCTTCACTTACTGACAGCTGAGTCACAGCTCGGGGCAGAGGCAGCTGCTGTTCCTGCTGCACAAGCTTCCCGAGGGAAAAAAGGGATGGGAAGAAGGAATAGCAGGGAAAAAGTAAACGTGGTAACATGGATTACCTTCCAACAACAATAATAACTGACCAGATATGCTTTAAATTCCAAGAGCCCTCACTGTAATGAGGTTTATGAACCTGGTAACAGCCCAACCCCACGCCCCAGTAACACAAAGCATAACTCCTCAGCATTATTGGCACTGTGGAGCCCCAACTCCATGGTCATGGCCTCAGGTCTGCCACTGGCCACACGTGTGCTCTTAAAGAGGCCACTTTTCCACAGAAGCAATTGGTTCCACGCAGCCTAATCCAGAGGTGGAAGGTCTGAGAGGATCTGGGAAATCGTCGCTTTTTTTTCTCCAGGGAATTTCTGCGTGAGAAAACAAGCAGAAAAGTCAGGCATAACTAACCACAGTCCCCTCCTCCTTCTGTGCAGTGCCTTCATCTTCAGGGTGCTCCTCATGAGCAGGCACTGAACTGGGGGCGAGGAGCAAGAGAAGCTCTGGAGAGACTCCAGACTCCATATACAAACCCCTTTAGATTAGGGAATGACGTGCATCACTTCAGTGAAAACTCAGGGGGGATTTAGGACAAGACCACCCCAAGTTACCACAACCTACACTGGACTCCAGAGTCCTTGGTTCTTGGTGCTCATTTGTAGTCAAAGGCTCTTCCCCCCTCTGAAAAAGGCACCTTCTAAATGCAGAATGTCTCCTAGCAACAGCTGATGCCGTCGGCTGTTTCTAACACAGCCTCAGCATGTGGCACACTCAGGAGCTGCCACATTCCACCAAAACTTGTTTTCACATTACATTATTGTAACCCGGGGGAAGAGTTCAGAACAGTTCAAACTTGAGGTGTTATTTACTCAGTAAGTGTCAAGTTTTTTAACCACAGTCATGTTTCATAAGGTTTTGATCTGCCAAGCTGCCAGTGATCCACTCTCCTCCCTAACAAACTACCAGGCTCTCACGGCAGATGACAAAATGTAGGAAAAATGAACAAGACACAGTCTCAACCGTTTCATAAAAGTTCTGATCTCTGACTAGTTTTAATGACTTCATTCTGGTATTATAGACTTCATCCTGCCTCGCTGGTGTTTTAGCTGACCTCTTAAAGCACAGTCACACACTGCAAGGTGTAAATGCACTGAACAGAGTCCTGCATGGCAGCGAGGAACCCAGAGAGCCAAACTCACCACTTGCCTAATTAAAACGAGCCAGCCATGTTGTTCCCCTGGTTCTGCAGGGACACGAGCAGATCATCGATCTTCTCCATGTTCTGGTTGGCGGCCATGGCCGAGGGCAGCGGCGGGGTCTCGGGGAGCTGCTGGGACAGGAGCGCCGGCACGGCGGGCTGGGCCTCGCCCTGGGGCTGCCCGGGCTGCCCCATGGCCATCAGCTCCTCCGGCAGCGCCGCGGGCCCGGCGGGCAGCAGCTGCCCGCAGTCTGGGGGACAGAGGGACATTTCAGTGTCTTGGCACAGGCCAGGAGCTCCCACGGCGAAGCACACCAGCAGCTGCGCACCCACCCCGCGAGAGCCGCTACAGCCTGATGGAAGCAACACCTGCAGCTCCCACTGCTGGGGCTCACACACACACAGACCTCTGCACACACAGCAAGGCGCTGCGACCCACAGAACCAGTCAGGGAGGCTGGGTCCAGAGAGGAGATAAGGAAAAGTGTAGGTTTGTACAGCTAAGTACACTTTAACAGACACTTTTCTGGACTCTACAGCTTCTAAAATCCTTGCTTTCCTTCAGCAATGTGGAGAGAGGCAACACATATATTGTGGAAACAAAAAACAGCAAGCGAAATGCTCTCCTAGGAGAGCACAATCATTCCTCGATTGGGCATCAGTGAGAAACTCTTCCCTGTGAGGGTGGGCAGGCCCTGGCACAGGTGCCCAGAGCAGCTGTGGCTGCCCCTGGATCCCTGGCAGTGCCCAAGGTCAGGCTGGACAGGGCTGGGAGCAGCCTGGGACAGGGAAAGGTGTTCCTGCCATGGCAGGGGTGGGATGGATTGGCTTTAAGGTCCCTTCCCACCCAAACCACTCCCTGTTTCTATGGCAGCTCCCCACATGGTAAGCCCAGCATCGGGCACTGGTCACTTACTGTTCTGGATGCCGAACAGGAATATTCCCGAGGTCTGCTGGGATGAGGCAGGGGAATTCTGCAGCTGGTTGATGGCACCTCCCGCCGTGCTGTGGAACAGAGGAGCCTGCTGCTGGGGAGGAGAAGCAGTTCCTGGCATTCCTGCCATGCTGTTTTGGGAGGAGTACATGGGGGACTGCTGCAGCTCCGGCTGGCTCATGCTGTTCTGCAGGGCAGACATGGAAGCTGAGGAGATGAAGAGAGTGACTTGTTGCTCTTGAGAACTTGGGGACCCTTGGACCAGCTGAATCTGGGGCGAGTTATGGAAGATGGTTGGCTGCTGTGCTTCAGCCTGGCTGGAGCCAGGATTCTGGAGAGACGACACTGTGGTCTGACTCTGGAATTGCATGGGCTGCTGTTCCTGATTCATCGAGGCCATGTTGGACTGTGGATGAAAAATGGACTGGCCTTGCTGCTCCTGATTGGTAACTGGGTTTTGGTTTGGATTGAAAATCATGTTCTGCTTTTGGGGGGCCATTGTACTCATTGCATTTTGATTGCTGAACATCATGTTCTGCTGCTGCTGCTGTTGCTGCTCCTGAGATGGAGGGCTGCTCTGGATAGCAACAATCGAATGCTGAGGCTGGAAGATGGCTCCCTGTTGGTTCTGAGGGATGGAGCTGGACTGCATGGAGCCCAACGACACTTGGGACTGAAACAAACCCTGCTGAGCTGGCTGAGTCTGGGGCTGCTCCTGGGGAAGCATGGAACTCTGGATATGAGAGATCTGCGTCTGCTGCTGGAAAGAAGTCTGCTGTTCAGTGTTTGTTGCTGTCTGAAGAGGAGAAATGGGATTTGGGCTTGTAAAGAATGACATCTGCTCTTCCTGAGTGGCAGGGTTGCTCATGGAACTCTGGGAAAGGAACATGTTGGCAGACTGCTGGTCTTGAGGCACCGAGGAGCTCTGCAAGACACCCATGGCATTCTGTGAGTGGAACATGGGGGGCTGCAGTTGGTCAGAGGAATTAGTGTTGGTCTGGTTGTGGACAATGGAATTTGAGCTATGAAAAAGGGATCCTTGTGTTTCCTGGGATATATTCTGAGTGTCACCAATAGGGTTCTGAGAGTGGAAAAGCTGAGCTTGTGAGTGTGGAGACTGCTGGATGAAGCTTCCCGACTGAATGGACATCATCTCTCCACCTTGCTGGAACAGGCCCCCGCCCTGCTGCTGAGTCCCACTGGCCTGGACACTCATCATGGTCTTGGTAGATGAGAAGAGATTAACCTGGGACTGACTTTCCCCACTGTGCTGCATCTGAACCATGGTCTGAAACACAGAGCTCTGCATCTGCTTGCTCTGGCCCGAGGCCTCTTCTCCCTCTGCAGAGCTCGAGGGCTGGAACATGGCAGCGCCGTTGCTGGAGACCGGCTGCTGCGCGGGGGCGGCCGCCTCGCCGCCGGACACCCCCGGGGACGAGGAGAACAGCTCGCACTGCATCTGCATGTCCTCACTGGAGGACAAGCCACCCATCATGTGAGACGCCTGCTGGTACACCGGGGACTGCTGCAGGGCTCCGTTCCCCGCCGTGCTGGAGGAGAACAGATCCGACTGCATCTGCGTGGCCGCCTGGCACATGTTCTGCTGCATGCCCATCACCATGGCCGCCGACGTCTCCATGGCCTGCTGCTGCTGCTGCTGCTGCTGGTTGGACAGGGCACCTTCAGGCTGGGAGCGAACGCTCTCGGCTCGTCCAGGCAGAAGGTTCTCCGGTCTGGAATGGACAGCTGTGTCTGAGGAGGAAAACATCCCGGGATTCACGCTGTTCTGTATCTGGCTGACCTGCTGAAAGATATCTGCGTTCAGCTGATCTTGGACATCCTCGCTGCTGTCCGAGCCCGAAAACAAAACGGAAGATAACTGCTGCTGAGCTTCCAGAACCTGCTGCACCAAGTCAACATTCCTGCTGCTGCCCGTGGCGGTGTTGGTGGGGAAGTTCCCAGCCTGGAGCTGCTGGATGGTGTTCTGGAGCTGACTCACGCCGCTGGCCGACGAGAAGATGCTCGAGGAAATCTGCTGCTGCAGGGCCTGGGCCGGCTCCGAGAGCGTCGGCTGCTGCTGCTGTGAGGCATCAGTCAGCTGTGACAGAGTCACCACCGTGCCGTCCGACTGCAGCACCTCCCTGGGCTGGGAGTCCCTCGTCTGGAACTGCGCAGCCTGCTGCAGCAGGGCATCGCTGTTCTGCAGCTGGCCCGGGGTGGACACTGCGGAGAAGCTGCCGGGCTGGGAAATGTCCTGCGTTTGGATCGTGCTCAGGGTCTCTGGGTTGTACACCTTGGGCTGGATTTGCTGCTGGTTTTCACTTTCAGAAGGTAAATGGGAAGCAGAAGTTGATATGCCAGACATGCTGTTTTCCAATGTTTGCTGAGTTGGTCCAACCACATTTGAAGCCTGAAAAGAGCAAGACATTCGGTAATTTATAAACTACTGGGATAGTTATGCAAATACAATTTCCCAAAATCCCCAATGTCCAGGGAAGATCAGAGGGAGATGTGAGATGTGAAACCCAGGCACACCCCAACCAGCAAACAAATGATCAGCAGTGGAATGCTACTTCAAGGATGGAATCACAGCACAATTTAATGAAAGCAATGCTAAGAAGTGATTAAAAGAATATTACAGTAATAAAAAGCTCTGTGTCACAGGATAAAAATCCCCATCACAGGGTCACTAACCCATCAATCTGTCTAGGTGCAGCAACCAGGTGAGTTATTGAAGGAAACTGTGTGTTTACTCATGCTCTGTGGTTGTGTTTTGCCCAGACTGATCCTGGACATGGCACTTTCCCTGTCTATTACTCTTCTCCACTGCTGAAGCATGGACCAAGGAGCAGATGCAACTCAGAATGTGAAAGCTGCTGTGCTCAGCCCCCACCAGACTCACCTGGAGCACGGGGGAAGAGCATTTTTGTGCACTTACTTCCATTGGAGCCACATCTTCGTTCTTGATCATACTGCTTGGCATGAGTGGAGTTATCAAGGCACTAGGAAGAATGTTCACCTTCTCCAGGTTACAGCCCGTGGCCTTCACTGCTGCAGCCACAAACAAAACGAGAACAAGAGGGGCAATGGTAAAACCACTCCACAACTCCCTTTAAGTAAATTACAGAATTACTCTTTAACGTAAAAGCCACAGACCTCCACACCCTAAGCAAATTTAAACCTTACAGTAACGTGGCAGTAAAATTTCTGCACATGTGTCTAGAGTGAGGAAGGACAGAACAGACCAAGTACATACAGCAAGCAAAATTCTCTGACCGCTGGTTCAGAGTCAGCCTGGAGCAGAACAGGTACAGGAATGAAAAAGAGGAGCTGACACAGAAACCCCCAGGAGAAGGTAAATTCAGATTGATTGCATAAATTAACTGAGGACAATGAAGGAACAGCAACAGCACGTTGTGTTCCAAGGAGCAGCAGCTGCTCTCCTGGAGCAGTTGGGATCTTCTCTCAGTTAAGCTCCACATTAAATGAGATGGATGTCAGGCATATTAGTTTATATATTTGCTTAAATTAACACTACACAGTTTCTAATTCTTTGTATTAACTGCAATCCTAGGCTTTTTGTTTAATTCTTCACTTGCAAACAGACTAAATAAATATTAGACTGGAGAGCCTAATGCATGAAAAATGAAAAAAAATTAGTATTATTTTTTGCCTTTTTTTTTGTTCTGTATTACCTTGTACTAAAATATATTGATAGGAATATTGTTATAAAGTAAAAGTTTCAGAGTCAGAAAACAAACCTCCCTGTAAGAATAGGGCCAGATTTTATAAGCACAGACTTATCACAGGATGTCTGATTCATTTCACCAAATCTGGGTAGGAATTCATAGTTAAATTATTAAGAACACTGATAAGAATCAATTTAGTACCTTTTATAGCCTCTTCAAAAGAACAATGTTGGGCTGGGCTGGAGATTTCCTTCTTCACATTAACATTCAGAGTCCCAGCTGCCGAGACAAAACACATTGAGAACTTCCTTACGTTAAATCAGCAAACAAGCCAAAAAAGCACAAAGCAAACCAAAACAATTCCTTATAGCTTAAAGAAATTCAGGTTCTTTGAAACCCACACAAACCTTTGCACTGTCTATTGTGATACAGATAAATAAATAAACTAAAATACATGAAGTGGGCAAATTGCAGCTTTCCTCAGGATAAAGCCTGGTGAGATTTCTTGGTTTATTTGGTGCATTGTATGGGATATGTTGATTTTTTTTATCCTGCTCAGCTTCATTTTGATCTTTAAACTAGAAATGGATGCTGCTCTATAAGAAGAGCTGTCACAAGACAGCTGGAATTTGAGGTATTTGGTGCATAAATGAGAAAAGCAAAGCCTTTAGGTTTTACTATTAACAGAGCAACACTGGCCAGTTTTGCTCTGTTAATAATAGCCAGTTTTGCTAGAGGGGTTTGGGAAGATCCACGTTGCTGAGCGTTCTGTGCTGAGCAGGTGAAAAGGGCCCTGCTCCCCCGGAGCCCCCCACACACCTGGCTCTGGAGTGTAGGTGAAGGGCTGCACGTCGTGAGATCTGCCAGCGTTGGTCACCACGTAAATGCCCACTGAGACAGCTGAGGTGATCTGCTGGTCGTGATATGGTGGCACCTTCACAATAAGGTGATTCTGCAAGGCAAAAGGATCACATTTTCCTACTACTGATCTTAATTCTACTTACTTACAACAAAAGACAGAAACAGGCTGATAAAACACATAAATAAAAGCCCAGGGCACTGGGGGCAGTGCACATGTGGAATACTGCCCAGGAGGTGGGACAAGGATGGCACTTTCCTGACACCATCTGCAACCAAAGAGTCCATAAAGACACTTATTTGTGTCAAAAAGATTAAATATTCTGTATAGCATTTCAAAGTGGAACAAAAATTCAGCCAGTTACAAAGACTTTGCTGTACACACAATCTCCTTCCATGGAAAACTGCTGGGAAAACTGAATTAGGCCTTTTAGTTCCACTGTATGTAAGGGCAAAGACCTGCTCAGCAAACCCACTGTGGGATCCAAGCTCTCAGTTAGACTGAACAATTTTACTGGTGTAAACCCAAAATTATATTCCACCAGACTCACAACAGACCTTACGTGAAAAAAATTAGTATTATTTCTGGAAATGTACAGAAAGAGGGAAAGGCTTGATTCATTTTTCTTTGGAAACAGAGTCAGTGTATTTTTTAAATTAAAAATATAATTATAATAATAGCAATAGTAATAACAGTAGTACTAGTAGCAGTAGTGATAACAGCAGTAATTATAAAAGTAATACAGAAGTACCTGATGAAATAATTCCATGTCAATTTCAGCTTCTGCCTTCCAAGAATTCTCATCTAAATGAAAATTAAAAGCCTAGGTTAGTGCACATCCTGTAGAGCAATTTTTCCAGTGCCTTTGACCCTGCTGCTCAGTTTGCTCTCCTGACTGAGCTTTACCCAGCAGTGAAACCCCAGCCCCAGGCTCTGCCCAGCACCCCAAGCCAGCCCTGCTTTCACACTCACCGGAAACATTCTCTTGGAAAATCACTTTTGTTCCCTTTAGGAAGTTCTTGCCAATCAGAAAAACTTCCTCTTCACCCTTCACTGAACAGCTGTGGAGACTTTTCTTTAGGATCTCTGGGACTCCTGCTGGCTGAGCTGCAAGGGAAAAAACAGAGTCTGGAATCAAGAAAATATCAACATCCAAACCAAACCACTTTTACTTACAGGGTTATGAAGGAAAAACTGAAACTCCTGAGCTTCTTTCTTTATCATGTATTTCATGACAAACTCTTCAGAATATAACCATTTCTATTATTTCCTCACCAAATGTAACGAGCTCACAGAAATCACACTTAGCTCAATGATCCACTAATAATCTTTCTTTTTTTCTCCTGCACTTACTAAATCTTCAAGACAAAACTCCCAGTGTTGGAGCCAAAGCTCAACAAGTGCTCAGAAGAGAAGGAAATGTGGTTCTGTAATTCCCTGGTGTAGAGTGATTTCCAGAGCCATCAACCCTTAGACACACCTGAAGCCTACCTGCAAATTCAGCCTCTGGGTCACAAAACTTTATTTTTTTGTGAAGCTTATTTTGCTCTGCTCTGCAAAAGAGCAGAAGGAGTAACTCCCCTATTACCTGAAGGGTTTGCAGTTTTTTTACATGACACAGTTTTCTGTCTGGTGCAAGAACTAACCCAGGGCTTGGAGCAACCTGGTGTCCCCTGGCCGGGGTGGAATGGGATGACCTTCAAGGTCCCCTCCAAATCCTTGCAAGACTCCCATCTCTGGAGCTGGGAATTTCAGCAATTTGAATCAAATAAACAAGCCAAGAGGATGTGGTTTTACAGAAACACATCCCTGGATGCCCCTGTGCCAGAGGTCCAGATGATGATTTATATCATTCTTATCATGAACTGACACTGCTGCAAACCATTCCTGCTCTTCTTAAACCTTAAACCAAACAGGACCACATGTGCTGAATACAAATGAGCACTGCAGACAATTTACACAGAGATACATTTTAAAATAACGTTTTTTGACACATTTAATATAAAATAATTCCAGTTTCTCACGGAGGTTCCTCAATCACCTTTTCTCCTCACACAGCTTCCAGGGCACACACCCAGACTCGTGTTTCTGCACTTGCCTGGCCCACTTGGAGTGTTTAATAACAATATTCTCTGGGCTTACTACACAGCAGAACATACATCCTGTACCACTCCAAATTATTTAATGACCTTTCAGAAAGGATTTTTCTACAACTCTGGCTGCAGGTTCCCAGGCAACCGTTACGCAACGACTGAATATGCTCAAGGCACATGAAAAGAGTAACTGGATTTAGGTTTGCTAACAAGTTAACAAAGCCTATTTAAAACACAGCCCTCAAATAAAGAGCTGCAGCTCCTTAATGCCTTCTCTATGGTTTCAGGAACGTTATAAAACACAACATAAACAGGCTCTGGTGAGTGTAAATGCAAACCTTGTTGAAGGTACATCACACACTTGTCATAAGGTTTATGTAGCAAACCAACCCAGTGTAATTTGCCTGAGGAGACGATTTATATTCAATAAACAACACATTTCATGCCATTTTGATCAGCCAGTACCCATGTGCCAGCACTATTTGCTTGGCCAAGGTCTACTGCAAGTCCCTGCAGCTTTGGCATAAGTTAAGACAGAAGCACAGAGTCCTGGAAGGAGCCTCAGGAATTCCCCTCCCAACCTTCACACCAGGATCAGTTTTATTCACATATTCCCCAAAGACACAAGTCTGACCAGAGTATTTTGTTTCTGTGATCTAAGACTTGCAGCACTGGAGACACTGCAGAATTCCTGGGCAATCTCTTAGCAACTTACACAATTGAGAATATTTTCTTAGCAAGTGACCAAACCCCAGCCTGCCAAAAACCAAACCAATTTACTCTTTGCATCAAATACAGCTTTTTTTAGCTCAACAGCCTATTTTAAAATCAGTCTCTAAACGTTTATCTCAGACTCTCAGCTTCTATTCACAATAGCAAGCTTTGGGCTGTTAAAGAAAACATCAGGTGACTTCCACTCCCTTTTCTTCTATAGGTGAAATAATTTTACATTTAACCAGAAAGTTACAAACAAAAGAGATACAGGAATGGTTTTGAGATTTTATAGAAAATGTTTTTATCTTAAATCTGAAAATTAGTATCAGAAACTCCATTACTGTGAAATACCACCATGGTCTATTGCCCGGAATGGAGCTGCAAAGATCACTGTACTTCTAAAAAATAACCCCAAAAAATTCTTTTTATACCATGGGAAGAGTACAATACGAGTGCCAGGAGCTTCTCTACTCTTTCCATGCACAGACCAAGCTCTCCATCTCATTCATCAAGATAAGGGGGGGAACAAGATGAGCTTTAAGGTCCCTTCCAGCCCAAATCATTCCATGATTCCACAATCCCCTCTTCCCTGTTGGTCAGTGGAACCTCCCCAGCCAAGGCAGCCATCTGTGCTCGTGCTAAACAGAGCAGTTTAATAAAGAGCTATAAAAAGTTTTGTTCTTGCACTGAAGCAGAACAGATCCAGCCTCTGGCCCACGCAAGGACCACAGCTGGGAGAGCCAGGCTTGCTGGCTTACTGCGAGTCCTGTCTAGCACCGCAAGCTGAGGCATGAATGTGACAATACAGCAGAGACAAAGTACTAACTGTCGGTTTTCAAAGCAAATGACAAAAATGGTGACATTTTAGGAGGCAAAAATCCATAGAACTGAAGATCAGGAATTGTGTAACTATTTTTCAATATCGGACAATAATTTTAACTATTACCCCACCAAAAATAAAAATCAATCCACTTGATTTCAGCAACAGCAATTGTGAAATTATCACAGATTAAAAACACAGGGTTGGTTTTTTACTCCCCAAGGTATTTTCACAGAATAATCACAGCATCATTTAGGCTGGAGACCACCCAGTCCAAGCTGTGCCTGATCCCAGCCCAGAGCACTGACTGCCACATCCATTCCTTCCTTGGGCACCTCCAGGGCTGGGGACTCCAGACCTCCCTGGGCAGCCCCTGCCAGAGCCTGACCACCCTTCCCATGCTCAGATCACACCAAAACCCAGAGCCCCCTACTCTCAGCTCTGTGGTGTGACACTCACTGCACAGAATTGGGGAAGAAGGCGTCTGCAGGGTCAGGGTGGAGCCGTCCTTGCGCGTGATGTTGACGCGAAAGACAAGCCGAGCGCGGGTGCTTTTCTTCTTGGAGCCAGCAATCCCTATCCTGGCTTCCACATCAGCATTCCTCAGCTTCAGGATTCCCACACAATCAACCCTAACAACACAAAACAGAGCAGAATTTCATCGTTTAGTAAGTTCAGCACCTTTAACAGTCTCTCAAGTAGTTTCATAAGCCAAAGTCAAAAGCCTTGAGGTAATTACAGAAATGTTATTAGATTTCTTTTTATTTACATGAAATCTATGACCTTTTTCAAGTTTTCATTCAACCCTGCCTAATTTGGATGATGAATCACAGCAGAAAGGCATATGAAAGCATGAATAAAACAGAAAGTGCAATTTAATTCTGGTAAGCATTCAATTTAGAATCACAGCTCTTCATTCTTCCATCCCCAGGGCGAGATCTGTGTTTGCAGGATTATTGCTTCAAAATATTCTGCATTCACTTAAAGAAAGCAGGAGTAGAAGAAAACTTACTGTAGTCATATTATTTATGTTCAGTAGGACTTGGAAGTGACAGATAAGTCCTCCCTTAAGTGTGGTCCTAGGGGAGATGTACAGGGCCAGGTGAGTGATGATGCAGTGGTGGCTTTCAGACAGGCTCCATGCAAAATGATTTAAAGCAAAAAACAGCCAAAAAAAACAAGAACAGCAGAAGCAAACACAGCCTGATGTATTAAAAAGAAGAATATTGCAATCTACCCAGGATTTTGGGTTCTGTGTCCCAAAAGCACAGGGACCACCTGCTATCTCCTGTGAGTACACTGAATTACAAGCAAGAGCCGAGGAGCAGAGCGAGGAGAGCGCCGAGATGCTCAGACTTGAACTGTAACCCATCCAACAGAAAAAAGGCATCGGTTCCCAAACCCAAGCCAATAAAGGACAATACTCCTGGAGGAGCTACTCACGCCAGTGTCATGTTGTTGCTTGGGTCCAGCCCCACCTCGATGACAGTGGTGCCCTCGATGTCCACCTCCTTGCAGGGCGTGGTGTTCCTGCCCGTGACCCGGCAGGCCTGGTAGAACCCGTGCGGCTTCACGCGCCCGGAGTCGTTGCCCACGAACACCTGCAGCACCACGGGCTCGTTGTGGCCTTCCAGCTGCAACAGGCCAGGTGGGCAATTAGCACAGGAACGGCTGCTTTAATTGTTATTATTAATAGCGGGTTTCTAAACCAGGCTCAGTCCTGTCTACCTTCAGACAGAATTATCCCAACTGCGATCTCAGGTCTCTTCCGACCTCCTGCTCCCACTCCAGCTGTGACTATTCCCCCTTCCCCTCCCAGCATCTACATCCACCAGCCAGCCAAGAAAGAACATTTCCTGGGGCTGCTTGCAGAGGTGAAGAGGTTTTGCTGCTCAATATGTGCATAGCCACTGGCATTCCAGGACCCCACCTTCATGCGAGATGCGTTTTGAAATCCTCGTGAAACCAGATTAGAATTGTCCAACAGCTGCAAAACCCCTGAAGGAGTCAGAATAGGATGAAAGGGAAGCAGAGGGAGAAATGGGCAATTGAATAGTCCAACCATCCAACCGAATAAGCCCAGCTTTCCTTCAGACACCAAAATAAAAATTAAAAATGGTAACCCAACATCTCCTGCTTAAAAGGTAACAATGTCAGGATTCACTGAAATACTTCATAAATAAGAGCAGGTCAGACATTTTAACATCCTCCTGCAACCCCCATCTGCAAGTCATAATTATCCCAGAACATGCCAATGAAAAATACATTCATTTCTGTAACATCAACACCCTGGCATGAAATGGTTTGTGTCCTTTTAAAGGTTTTTTTTATTAGTGGGATCCCACTAGTGCCACAGACTAAAAATACTCTGAGGTAAAAGAAGTCCTGAAGTAAACCTGGACATTGCATTACAAAGAAAATTCTTCTTTTTAGGAAATAGTTAAGAAAAATACTCCAAGTGAAAAAAACATTAGATTGTTGCCAGATTCCCAGGCCAGAGTTGGAAATTCCTTGCCAGAGCATTCTAGGAGATAAAATGAATATTTTAGTGTTTCCACTGAGACGTATTTGTTGTTCAAGGCCTTCTGGGTGATAGTGCTGTCTTTTGTCCCAGGCCTGGAAGCCCAGGCAACACCTTTAGAAAGAAGCTTCAGTTTCAGCAGTGAGGAGATGCAAATGAGAGCAGAATCCTCTGGAGAATCTCTTGGGGGATTATTCCCTGACACACTTAAAAAATGTAATTCTGAAGTTTGTAGCAAGTTTGAATAAAGGAAAAAATAAATAAAGCAGCAAATACTGATAAGATCACTGCGTGCTCATGTCCAAGAGGAGCAAATAGCAAATGTTCCTGTCAGAGATGGGCAGAGCCCCAAGATCCCTGCAGTGGCCCAGCACAGGCATCCACATGGGAACCAAGGGCACAGGTCACAACAAAGGGCTCAACAGCCAGTGCCTCGATTAAGGCTTGGCTGTACAGTTTTAATGCTGCATACTAATTGTAGACTCAAGTTTTAAGTCATAAAGAGCAGAGTTTTATTTAAATGGCCACTGAACCTGCTTCTCCTCCTCGGCCTGTGTCAGGGCCATGCGCTGGAGCCGCTCCCAAGAGCCAGATCTCTGCTGAGCACCAACATCTTTACACTGCTCCTCCCCACCTTTAAACCCCACAAACAAAACAAAAAACTCCCTTGTCTGGAACGTATTTTTCCCCACTAGCTCAGATTTCCTGAAGATTCACTGACTCATTTGTCTGTCCAGCCCTGGCAGAGTTTTATCTGCAGGGTATGAACTCCTCTGCCTACTGGTAAAGCAAACTGGAACTTCCAGGAATTCAGTAACATGAGACTCTTCCAAAGAGAATTTTCACTGATGGGTGCTAAAGGGTAACTGGGAAAGGAGTTAAAAGGAAATTCAGATGAACAAAGGCCCATTAAGAAAATCCACATAAATGAGGACTAAATCCCCATAGCAACAGGCTGATATGAATGGATTCTTTTCTTATGAAACTTTACTGGAGTTCTGCATTACTCAGGAGGACTGAGTGAAGGGCTGCTGGTGTTCCGAACACTGCAGAACAGGACTTTGAAGATAAGCCTACTTCTGTATTTTGTCAGCAGCAGTCAGCACAAATTTCAAGGGCTGTGTCACAAACAAACATCTCCTTGTGGACCTGGTAAGTTAGTTTGGGTTGAGAACTGCTTTGCTGATTTCTCAAAGTGATATAACTACGAAAAAACATTAAACAAAATGTCTTTCACCCTTCTTATCTACATGATAACAAACCTAGCTGTGTACTCACTCAGCCTGCTGGCCACACTGCTCCCAGTATGCCCAGTATGCCATTTGCAGTGTGGTGCTGGCCTGGACTCAGCTCTCTGGTGATTCTCATAATCACTTGTGGGAGGATATTTAACATCAGTTCTTCTGTTTGCCACCCTAAGTCAAGCCCAGCCTTGCCCCTGGTAAGCCTCTCTACCATTTCCATGAGGAAACCTTCCCAAGCCCTCAAGTTCTCCAACTGCTTTCCCCAGGCTACACAGGGAAGAAAGAAGACCTGGAAATGCCCACTCTGTGCATTCATGGGCAGCCCCTGGAGGACAGCCTCAGTCTTCCTTCCTGAGCAGAAATGTCACAGATCTTGTAACCTTCTTGTGTTGCTCAGAGCAAGAGGCCTTCAGCACCTGAATTTTAAGCCCCAAAGTCCACACAGTAATCAGGCTGCAACTGTCAAGTGTGCACATAAATGCTGCCTCGTTCCTTGCCCCATTCTCCAGTTCTAATCCACATCTACCTCTACTACCTCCACCCGTACCATGCTAAACACACTGAGCAGTACAGACTGCAAAACACACCTCAGTGAGATCTCCATGACTCACCTGAAAGACACTGTACACAGCAGCTCAGATACTGCTGAATTAACAAGAGCAAAAAACACCAAGCAATTGAAAAAAAAAACAAAACCAAAACATCCCCTTTACAATTTATTTTTTTTTAATGAAAACTGGTTTTATGTCTTTACTACCACTGAACAATGATGGCCCACTGTCACCAGCCATCAAACAGCTACAGCATTTCACTGCCTCGCTTTTGTAGGTATGGAATTTCTCTGCATTCACACAGTCCATGGAATTGCAGCCTAACAGGATGTGCATCCCAGATTTTAAACCCCTGCCTTGACATGCAGCTTCCCTCTCCTGTAACTCTGTGGTGCCAGTAAGACCCGTGACCTGCAAGAAGAGACCCTGTCCAGCCCAGGACTGCCAAGTCTGCTCCCTGACCCCTGCAGAGACTGCAGGCCCACTGCCAGGGCGGCCCTGGGAAGGCAGTGCCCGTGTCCCCAGCCTACCTTGACGGTGGGGAAGCCCTGCTGCGTGCGGTCCTTGACGGAGCCCCGGCTGCCCTCGGTCAGGTACCGAGCCCTGTGCTGGGTCTCCGGCTGCACCATGATCTTCAGCTCCTTCCCCTCACTCTTAGTCGGGTACTGACCACACAACATTGGGGTCTTCTTCCCTCCAGCTCCCTTCTGGTTCTCTGATGCTCTGAGAAGTCAAAACACACCATCGAGAAGATGTGAGAAGCAGCTCCCCAGTAAAAACGCTCCAAATCACAGAAAAGCTAAAAAGGCAAAGAGCGCGTATTAACTGGTGGAAGGTTTGTAGTTGGGAGCAAACTTTGGGACTCTCTTTCTGCCAGAGGAGACCTGCAGGATGAAGAGGAATGGTGCTTCCCTGCCTCCTCCATCCAGAGCACATGGGAACTGCTTTTCAGAGAGCAAACATAAAGGAAGGGAAAAGCAATTAGCATTAACCGATGTTAACGAACAGAAGGCAGCTCATAACCTGCTTTTTCAGAGTCTATGACACAGCCTGAACAAGCTGTTTTGCTGCTGTGACAAACACACACGTACACACACACTGGATGGATTTAAGGTTAAATGACACTTCTTTAAACAGGAAAATAGCCTCATGCCTGTCTCCACCTCAAATTGTACATCCATGAAAACTCCAGCTCCGACTGCTGTCTAAACAGAGTGACCAATTTATGCTAAAACCTAATTAGCTATTGTAAAAGCTCTGGCATAATTGCACCAATGTTAAATCAGTGTATGCACTAGGCCTTTCTTTCCAGGAGCATTCCATAAGATGTAGTGGCTTGTTCTCAGTTCCATAATTAAAACCAGGATGAAGGAGCCTTCCCAAGTCTAGCAGCACATGAGACATTTTGTGTTCCCTTTAGAGCACAGTGGGAAATAACCCTTGATCCTACTCAGACCAGGATTTGGTAACGAACCTGAAGACCAAGAAACTCCTTTCCCACTAGGAAATGTGAATGTACCACAGTACATGATGCAGGCAGGAAAAGGGCTCCATGATTCATGCAAATGTCATATTCTTTCTTCCTAGGAAAACATGGTTTCTAACAGCTAATGCCTGGGAAGAAAGCAGTTTTAAATAACAAGTGTGGATTGTTTAAAAAAGAAATTCCATTTCAACATGCAAGTTATTGAAGAAATTTATCCAGGATTTTCTCTTTCTCAAAAAGGATGAAAACTGCTTTTTTTTCTTTGCCACTGCACGAGGCTCTCACTGACCTGGAGCTGGGGTGACCCAGCTCTTCTCACCTACCAGATGACAAACACGATGCAGCCCTTTCCTAGAGCTCCTGCTGAGCACAGAGCAGCCCCTGGACACAGCCCTGCCCCAGCCCTGTGGGGCCTGGCCCTGCTGTGCTGCTCCTCTTCCTGCCCAGGAAAGGCTGGGCACTTTGCCCCCCACATCTCACAGCCCTAAAGCCATGGAATCACAGCAGAGGGTGGGTTGGGAGAGACCTTTAGAGGTCACCCAGTGCCCCCCCTGCCATGGCAGGGACACCTTCCACTGTCCCAGGTGCTCTAAGCCCTGTCCAGCCTGGCCTTGGGCACTGCCAGGGGTCCAGGGGCAGCCACAGCTGCTCTGGGCACCCTGTGCCAGGGCTGCCCACCCTCCTTTTAAAAAACTTCCTCCTTTGACCTACACTGAATCAACACTCTTTTAGTTTAAAACCACCACTCTTTGCCTAATGCAACACATCCTATTTGTCACACCCTTATTTTCATTTAAGCCTTTTTCTTAAGCCTTCCAAAACCTTTCACTACACATAAAAAAGGGTTAAAATAGACAGAGTTGGTGCTTTGGATGACTTCCATTTCCATTTTCTCTCCATGAAGGTTAAGCACTTCACTGTGGACAGACCAGGCACTGCCCTGGCTGTCTTCAATACTCATCCTCAACCAGTACCCAGCAGAGGCAGGAACTACATAAAAATTAGCATAAAATCTGCAAAATAATATTAATACCATCTTATAATAAAACTATCTTCCTGCCAAGCAGTCCTGATTACTCTGCTCAGTGTAGCCACTGGGGAGACTGGGATATAGTTGAACTTTGAAGGGAAATGTTGGAGAGCTGGCCATCAAAATGAAATTCACCTTTGCCACTCCCAGTGCCACGATTCAGCAGTGACATTAACACTGAGCTCTCCAGAACAATATCCTTAAATCCCAACTACCTTAACTGTCAGCATATTAATGTATTATCATTATCATATTTATGCAGAGAGATGCTTCTCACAATTATTTTGGTCTTTTCTCTAAAAACTCAACCATTACTTCCAATCAACTAGCCAAGGCTGGATGCAACTTAAAACCTTCACCAGAATTTCTCAGTGGTCCTTCTCAAAGTACAGGATGAACCACTTAATGCATCCTTTCAATTCATGAATTCATTTTAATTCAGTTTATTCATACTGCAAGTATTCACACCTGTACATTTCATACGCACGCATGTATTAATCTGATTGTTACCAGACAAAATATCCTCCAATCTAGCACTTCTGGTTTTTTAAAGGAATAAATGTAAGTGGCAAATGCTATGAATCTACTCAAACAGATCTCCTGAGGAGTTTGGCCCGGTCCTGTTCACAGGGCAGACCCCAAAGTGAAAGTGAGACCACAGAAACCTGAGTCTCTGCCCTGAACCACCACCAGTTCATCCACTTCTAAAAAGGCTTTCACAAATTCCAAGTTTCCACAGGAATATATTCTTTCTCTTCCTGGCTTTTAACAACAACTGTCTCTTTAGGGGCAAATGCCATTTCCATTCACCACGGAGCACAGCAGTTTTCCTTGCTCTTTTCTTTAAGCCAAAAGTAAATGAACTCCCTTGGCTGAGCTCCACCAGGCTGGGAAGTTTTAAGAACTCCAGTCACTACGGTGACCCAGATTTGTAAGGCCAAGTCTCCATATTTCAATGGCAAAATTAAGTTTTCCAAGATCTTGGCCACTTCTCATCCCAGAGCATTTACTCCCGAGGACGGTTCTGCTACCTGGGACTTTTCCTGCAGTTCAGTCTGGCCTGAGACACATAAGGAAAAATATTCCACCTTCTTCCCCTCTGCACTCACAGAACTCACGGATTTCCCTGCTCAGCCCAGTGTTTTGGGGAAATCTTATTCTATTTCCAGACCGTGATCTCACATATTCTTTCAGAGTTTACAAAACCCTCCTGAGACCACACTTACAGTGGCACAGTTCTCATCCTCCCATCAAGCTTCTCCTTCTGTAAGGGCAAGCCTGGTCCCTCGGAGCTGGGGGAGGCACCTTCCTCATTCCAAGCTGCCCGGGGTCTACCAGGTACTAATATTTCACTTTATGACCACAGATTTTGGCTGGTGAAAACCCCGAAGCCAGAGGCCACCATGCCCAGGAAGAGAAGCACACTCAGGACATGTTCTCAGAACTGCTTTTCACAGTGAAATTTTAAGTATGGAACTGCACTGACCCTGGGAATACAGACTCCAGGCTCTTTCCCTTTGGGATATGAGAAGTTCATCATCTTTGCCATCAGTCAAATTTTAATATTCACCGTTGCTGTGATGAACGTCAGAACGTACTGCAAGCACAGATATAAAAGTGAAACCAAAATGCACTCCTGCCCCCAAAAAAGCCCAAAATAAAAGAGCCAAATCTATCCGTTTGACCACTTTAAAAGTACTAAAGAAGCAAAAAGTTAAAAAATAAAAGAAAAAAAGAAATGTATCAACACACTCTTGCAAACTGATGGAATTGTCCTCTTTAAGCAGCTACTGGAATGCATTTAGTGAACAGTGTGAAGTGGGAGATGAGGGGCCACCACCCAGGCGTGCCCACGCAGACACACGCACACGACCCAGAAGCACAGAGAGAAACAGCATTAGAGATTTATTTCTGAAAAAATCAAATACAGAAGTGAATTCACATGGGAAAACCAAAAACTGGTTCACCATATTGTCTTAACATTTCATAAAAAAGTAAAGCAAGTGATAATTTAAATGATGAGAAATCCTAATGAGACATTAACCGTTAGCTTGTACTCCCATCCCTGTCTCTATCTGACAAACAGAGCAGCAGGTGAAGTGTACAGACTGAAATCCTCATATAAAATCCTGCAAAAAAACATTCAGGGTACACCAACTCCACTCTGCCTTTCTTTTTAAATACATTTTCATTGCCATTTTATAAATGGAATTGTGTGGCCTTTAGGGAATTTCACTTAAGGAACAGATGAGCTCATCAGCGCTGCATTTAATTGCTGCAGGAAAGTTTAGTTTTATCTTCTAAATAAAGATTAACAAGTCTAATTAGAACTTATCACAGAATCATGGAGTGGTTTGTTTTGAAAGGGACCTTCAGTTCCACCCCTGCCATGGGCAGGGACAACTTCCACTATCCCAGGCTGCTCCAAGCCCTTACGTCCAACCTGGCCTTGGACACTTCCAGGGATCCAGGGGCAGCCACAATTTCTGGGGGCAGGAAGAGCTTATCCTGGGCTAGGACATGGCAGGGACAGCAGAGGACACAGGGGTTGATGTGAGAACCTAAGCAGAACATTTGCCGGGGCACTTTTATTAATTTGGGTTTACATACGAAGATAGAATGTTTTTTCTTTAAAAAAAAAAAGAAAAAAAAAAAAAAAAAAGCAGATACCAACCCATTTCCTGCTTTTGAGTTGCTTTTGCTGTCCGTGCTGAGCTGAGAAAGGACATAGTGAGGCGCTTTGGCACTGTCGGCATCAAAGATATCCATGTTGGACTCTTCGCAATCTCGGCGTTTGATCCCTGGCCTCTGCTTTGGGTTGCGCTTGCGCGATTTACGTGGCACCTCAGTGTTATCATTGTAGGAACTGGTACTCATGTTACTGAAGTTGGAGGGTGAATCCTCCATCCACATACTGCAGCTCTGTTCTGACTCCAATCCACAGCCCTCATCCTGGCAGGACATCCGGCTGTTGTCCAGCAAGTCCTCGGGAGGTGGCGAGATGTACAGGACAGTGTGGCGCTTCGGCGTGGCCGGGTGCTGCTGGGCTGTGTTACTGGTTATCTGCTGCTCACTTACCCCTCGGGTACTTACCCCCACGGCCGCGGAGCAGCTCTCCACTTGCATAGCCTTGCTGTCGGTGACTGAGGTAGAGTAAATGGTAGGGCTGGAAGAGGTGGTAAAGGAGCTGCAAGCACCGCCCATGGAGGAAGAGGAGGGAGCTGAAGAAGCATCTGCGGTGTACAATTCACAAGTAAATACAGGACCCGTGGCGGGGCGTGCGCTGGCTATAGCAGTCCCAGTGAGATCAAGGTGATTTAGGAACCGATTGCTTTCCCCCATGAAATGTTTGGAATTTGGTTCAGTTTTGGAATGGAAGTGCTTAAAGCAATACAGCCTAGCCAATGCTTTGGAAATGTCCAAACAAGTCTTAGCACGATCCACTGTAATCGAATTTTTTTTACAACTTAGCGTTAATTCATACAAATGGCTGCGAGTAAACAGAGCTTTCATTGCCTCAGCTGGACTAATTATTGGTGTAGAAGCCATTTCGTCTAAAATAGCCCCAAAGCAAAGTGCTTATAATCCACATTCGATGCCAATTAAACAATTTATTGTTGGAAATTTTTAATTTTTTTTTTTTGAAAAGATGGGACTGTGCTTAGCCACAAAATATTAAAATAAGTTTCTAACCTATGAAGCAGAGAACTACAGGTCATTTTTAATGCAGACACTCCCTGCTTCAGAGGCAAATCCTGGAATAAAAATATGAGAAAATAAATGAGAAAAAGAGCTGCTGATTATTCCATCATAAATGAGAAATAAAATATAAAATCAACTGAGTTGGTAGGCAAAATGGAACTGGTATCAGTCACTATGAGCGAGCTGTTGATTTTGAAGGTTCAAAAGAGGGATGAATTATCTGTGTTGGAGACACGCTGATCCAAGGACTGGGAATTTCTGTGATTTGACTTCTTCAGTCACTGGGACCAATTTCTCTAAGACTTCATTGGTCCCTTCCACAGACATGGCTTGGGACAGACCTCTGAAAAATGCACATTAAACAGGAGATTTCCATCACTGTGACTGCAACTTCTGCAGAGGTCCCAGAGCTCAATTTGGTTTAGAAACATGAAAATTATTACACCAAACCCCCGAAGATTTCTGGAGAACACCACTGAAAAATTGTAATGGACAAATCAATGGAATACGTAAGTTAAATATCCCAGAGGAAGCAGGCCATTCAAACATATGTATTTATTTCAGTCAGCTGTAGCTCACTGAGGAATAACTGAATTTTATAGTCAGATTTTAGCTTTCTGTGGGGAGACCCTGTTTTCTGTATTTCTGCACTGCCACCCACACCTGATAAACCAGGAGCACTGAAATAACCTAATTTTGGAAACAAATTGTACATTAAATATATACATAATAATACAGTATGTTTGTTCAGCTACTTACTGCTGTCACACAAGATAATCTCTATTACTAAGAGGAACATGATGTTTTCCTTTTTGCTGCTTGGGATTTTTTAAAAATCCAAAATATTACAACAGTCTCTCGAGTCTAATTAAGAGATTCAGAGACTGCTGAACTATTCTACGCAGTTTTAGTTACTTAAAAGTAATAGAATCAAGCACATTCAGTCATGATATATTAAATTAACAGTAAAACTCAGCCAACTTGCCTATACTGGGAATTACTGGGAGTATCAATGACTGATAATAAAGAACTTTTCAACCATTACTGTTTCCTACAGCTTTCCTGTGCTAAATAAATGTAAAAGCAAACTTACATTGCTTCAGACTGTGAAATTTAGAGGTCATTAGTTTATCAATAAACTACCCTGCCCTCCCTGAGCCTCCCAGTGAAGCAGGAGCAGCTGAATGATACCAGTTCCATTTTCCAGCTTGTTCTTTGGCAAATACAGTGGCTGAAATTGGAAAAATTCAGTCACTTTGCATTCCAATTTAAAGGCAAATTTCTCCTTTCTATATCATGCATTAATTCAATGCTTCTTTCAAAAACATTTACAGGATTGGCAAGAACTATCAAATCTAGATATTCATTTCAGTGACAATATTTAGGAGCTGATTTGCAGCCACTTTGAGTTGAGACAGCCCGTTGCTATTTGGGATGTTTTGGTCGAGAGGATTGGTTTCCATCCATCATTTATACCTCCAGAGAAGCAGAAGCGTGCCCAGGGACCCCTGGGGCACAGGAGCTGCAGGGCTGGGGGCTGGATGCCAGGATTTGCCCCAGGAAAGGCCAGAAATGAATTCGGGAAGAGCCCGAGGCAGCGTGGGCAGTCGGGGTCTGTGGGACAGGGACTCAGACCATGGAATCTTTACACACATGGAACAGGCAGCAGGGCTTCGACTGCAGGACTCCTCCTCCAACAGATTAATATCACATTTAGCTTTTCACATCAATCCTGGGAGTGTAAGGAAACCTTGGACACTCCAGGCTCAGCTCTGCGTGGGCCACGTACACCAAGCACTGGGCTCAGCTGGTGCTTCAGTGCATCTCCTGGCCAGGAATGCAAAACCTGCACTTTTCCCTCACTTTCCTAGGGAAAAAAATAAATATATCACTGAACCAAATGCTTTTCAAAGCTAAAAGAGCTGGTGATGGTAGTGTTGTTTTAGGGTGCAGCATTGTGAAATATTATCATTATTGCAATGTCATCATTATTGCTCTCCAAAACAATTTCGCCTCCTTTCTTTTTCTAGAAGGTAAAAGCACTTATATGTATAAATATGTGTATGTGGGCTTTTATACTTTTAAAAAGTAAATAAACATTGACAATTATAAATTGGTCACGCTCTCCTCCATTTACCAGAGATGCCCCTGTGTAATGATTAGATGTAAGATCAGATTTTGGAAATAAACCCAAATTGAACAGTAATGGCAAGAAAACCTCTCTTTAGCCTTATATAATAAATTAATGCCATTACTATCCATAAATAAAGTATGATAAATATTACAGCAAAAGGAATAGACTGGCTGTATTGGAACAGTCAAATACACAGATTTAAAAACTTTTGGGGGCATAAATTAGAAAAATTAGTAATTGCTTCAGCAACATTTTAAGTTATGAAAATACTAAGAAACAGTGAAATCTGTGTTTTCTCAGAGTATGCAGGCCTTGAGCCAACTCATCTTCCTTTGAACTAATAATAAACTGGGTCAATCAAATAAGAATTCACCACGTTACTGCAATGAATAAACAGTGCTTTACATGGCTCCCATTTGGGTCCATCATTTTATTCCAAAGCCAGTGACATTTGTATCTGACACCCAAAAGAGATTTCTTGGATCAACATGCTGCATTTTGGAACATAAGTAATTCAGTAATTTTAACTTGTGTTGCTTTACAAGGTGAGAGCATACACACACCTTCCCCAGCTTTGAGCATTCCTTTTATTTTACTTTCTTCAGACACATATTAATGGGCAAGGGCACAGGTGGCTCACGGTTTGCAGTTTAACAGTGCGTGCAATGACAAATACATATATGTATTTTTAAGTGAGTAGGTACATTTTGAAGTAGAAGACTGAATGTATTTCATTTAACACAGTCTCAAAATCAAACTTGCTTTCAGAGCAAGGACACTGAACAGAAGCCAAGAGCTTATCATGGCAAGTGTGCAGCCTCAGGACTAGAAATGAAATGTGCATCAGCATCACAAGGTGGGGGGTTTTTCTCCTTTTTTAAATGAAAACAAGAGAAAAGAATATTCCACATTAGAGCAACTGAGATCACTGTTGAAACTAAACCTCCTGAATCCCGTCACTGCCATCACTGTTACATCAAAGGGAGCTGGAAGTAATTCAGATTTTATGCCTCTGCTACAAGTTTTTCTCCCTAAGAGAGGCAAAATTGTATCAATCAGTGCACAAGGACTGAAAGTAAGGGAGCACATGGCAGAGTGTCGCTGGGAGCAAACCAGGGCAGGCTTTTTCTTTTTGGCACCAAAAAAACAAAGAAAATGTATGACCTCCTGCATTAGCAACCAAGGCAATGACATATTTTCTATATCCTATTCTCCTGTGAAGTCAAACAAGGCATTCAGCCTCTAGAAAAAAGATTGGGAAAGGCAGGAGAGAGAAAAAAAAATCATTACTTGGCATTAAGGGAGTCTTTTTAGGTAACACCTCTGTGGAGCCAATTCTGAAATCCTCGTTCACTCTTTTCAAATACCCTTAAATACAACAAGGATTACCCAAGTCCTCACACAGAAACAGTGTCCTGATGACTTTGCTTTTTAATTGCAAAAGCAAGTCATTTCCCAGACTGGAAATCTTCAGATTATCAAGACAAATAAACTGAAGATATTTTTGGTTTCACAAGTTTTCCAGCCACCTGTGCAGGGACAGCCAGGACAAGCAGAAAGCCATTAAATAACTAAGTTTTTTCTCAGGGCCTCCCCTGCACTCCAGGGTATCCTCTATGCTCTGTGCAGAAACAAGTGTCAAAAATGAAAACTCACCCACAGGGTGAGGATTAGGTGGTGCATAAGCTTAATATGTGAAGTATAACTTTTATTAAATGTGTTGATTTATCTAACATGTCATGTCCTTGGTAAGATTTTTTTTAATTGGTTTATTCGAACCTCTGGACACAGAAGAACAATTTCAGGACAGACCCAGAAGGAAACTGCAAAATTTCCACCATCAACCTTTGTGTTGTCAAAGGTTTCAAAGGTAAAACCCAGAACTTACAAAGTGGCTGCAAACCTGCTTTCAACACCTCACATGCCAAACTTGGGGTTCTACTTTTCTTCTTCTTGTATTACTGATGTCATGTCAAAAACTTTTCCAAAAAGCTTAGTTTCAAATCAGTATCAATACACTATTCAGAAATAAACAAAAAAAAATTTTAAAAAAAATTTTAAAAAAGAAAGAAAGAAAAGAGACTTATGAAGAAGTCTGAAAACAAGACCGACCTATACCCTGGGTGAGATTGGATGGGTTAAGTGTCTCTGGCACTATTTGTCTTCACTATTGACAGACACTGTCACACAACCCACCACTCGATGCCTGTCTCTGAATGGCGAAGCTAGAATGCAAGTTAAGTGTATTAATAGAGAAAAAAACTAGCATCCCAGCAAATATCATAAAGCAATCCAATTCACCAGTTATTAAACACACTCAGATTCAAGATAGGTAGGTTAATTTAATTTACATTAAGCCCAACAGTGTAAATTCCCCTTTACATTCCCAAGCTGACCCAAGCAGTGTATTATTATATTTTGGGTAAACACATCAATCAATGGTTTTGTTATGACTCCCATTATTCAATTAACACTCAAGTTTAGGTATCTAAGGAGGACTTTTGTTAGTGGCTCACACACATCAATGATGGATCTCAGATCCTTCCCACTCAGTGCAAAGGCTGATTCCAAGCAAGCAGAACTCTGGGACCCACAGCTGCTCTCTCCAAGCCCTGCCTGCCGCCCCTGAGCACCTCCCCAGCTCCCTCCAGGAGAGGTCAGCATGGGTGGATCTGGCCAAGAACACCTCAGCTCAAGAAACAGACTATTTTGTCTTTTAGATACAGGGGTGGGCTTTTCCTAAGAAGGCAAGAACTGCTCTTGGCTTCACGATGCTGCTACAGAAGGAGGTGCCCAAGCAGCGGCACAAGAGGATTGTTCTCGCCCCTCACGGCCTTGGTGTTCCATTATTCTTTAAGGAACAGGGAATCCTCCTGCCACAAAGTAGTTCTCAAGTCTTTCTGATCTAATAACTAATAG